CTAGGTACATTTGATCAGAGAGGTATAACTGCCCCCTAGTGACGGAATACTACAATACACTCTGAAAACAAAAGATCTTCCAAAAGATCTAGATCAATATAAAAGTTTGAAGTTAAAAAAAAAAAAGTTAGAAATAAGCATGCTTATGTGTTGCTTCCAAAATTTACCATTTTTCCTTTTTACTCATTTATACCATAGTTCATTACTTCATATACAGTGAGGAATAAAACTGGAATGATTTTCTCCTCTATTACTGCCTTTTAGGAGGAAGCGGCACAAGTAAATGAAGGAATATATAAGAGCTGTGAAAGAAATAGGATGCTGTGATGGAGAATAATGGGTTCAGGGCAGTGAGAGGAGTCCTACTTCAGACAGGGTGGTTGGTCAGGCCTCACTGAGGAAGTAACATATAACCTGAGCCTGGAGGGATGAAAACCCCAAGTACAGGAGGAGAGACGGGGTGTCCCAGGCAGAGAAAATGTATGTAAAGTGTGTATGAAGTCTCAAAAAAAAACTTCTGGTGAGTACAGCCCCTGAGAAAAGGCCCGTGGGGCCTCGTAGGCTGGAGTAAGGAATGTGGACTTATCCTAAGTGACACAGGAGGTTATTTGTGGTCTTTAGTCAGGGGACGGCATGCCTGATGTGCCTTAGGACAAATCCCAAGTGGTGGGCTCCAGAGGGGAAGGTCGGCACAGGTCCTGGTATACAGTGGCTGGCCGGCCCCAGGCACTGACTGCAGGGATGCAGGAAGTGGTACCCACTTAGATTTTGGGGGCACAAGTGACAGGAGCTCCTGATCGCACTGGAGGTAGGGGATTGGAGAGGAGTAAGATTCTCCAGTTTTGGGCTTGAACCACTGAGCAATGCTCCTTGCCAACAGTAAAGCCCCGAGGAAGAACATGTTTTGTGGGAAGGGAACAAAATCAAAAGCTCTTTAGGTATGTTGACTTTCAAATGCCTGTGTAATTTCCAAGAAGAGATGTCAAGTAGAAAGTTGGATCTTAAGTCCAGGGCTCGGGGAGAGGTGAGCTAACAATGTAAAGGGAAGGCTTTATGGACATCTACACAGGATTTAGGGTCACAGAGGGATGCGATCACCTGGGGAGAAACGTAAAAAGGACTCTGTAACATGGTCAGCTTCACTATTGTAGGACTTACGACAAGGGCAACATTTGACAAGAGTCTCCATTTTCAAAGTCAGGAATTAACCAAACAGCTGCCCCCAGGCTTCTTGACCTCGTTTCCTTCATCTTTATTCTAGAAAGTGGCTTAGGCTTAACTCTATCTGTAGTGAAGCCGGTTTAGTTTATCTCAAGTTTGTACTTACACACCAAAATTTCTGGACATGTTCAGGTCATTGATCCTTAAATCTTTTCTCCTGAGACCACATAAGTGAGTGCAGACTTCTCATCATACTACCCAAGATTGTGGCATTAAATTTTCTATATTAGGTGGTAAGGGGAAAAGATTTTTCTAGTGGTTACCTCGGTGGGATGGGAAGCCTTTTTTTTCTTTTTTAAGACTATTTGAGAGAGTGTGTGCATGGGTGTAGGAGCACGGGAAGGGGTGGAGGGAGAGGGAGAAGCAGGTTCTCCGCTGAGCAGGGAGCTCACGAGGGACTCGATCTCAGGATGCCAGGATCATGACCTGAGCCAAAGGTAGATGCTCAACCACTGAGCTACCCAGGTTCTCCTAAAATCCTATTTTCTAAGCACCTTTGCTTATAGAGCATCTACTCCTAAATTAACAGCACAGAATGTTAGGGGAGACATTCCAGAGTTACTGGTTTGGGAGTGCATTGCAGTATGACACCATCCCCTGACGAGTTAGTGAACACTGTGCCAGGACATCAAGATTTCAAGTTTTTCAACGGCATAAAAGTTACAAGTTCCAATGCACACAAATAACAGCATGGTTCACCTGCTCCTGTCAAAGATCAGGAAACACTTCTATTTATCTGCTGAAGTGGCTCCAACTATATGGCATTAGCATAAACAACAGTCTATAATTCACCATGATTGTCAGCTTTAAAATTAAGTGAATCTCTTCACATTTTAAAAATGGGGATAGATTCACACAATTTCAAACACTGCATAGAATATGAAACTTCAATATTTTCCTATCACCCTGACTTTATGTAATTCATGTTTGCATAAAATGTAACCACAATATAGGTCTTAAAAAGCATAGAAATGTTATTGGTAGTCACAGAGTAGTATAATGGATGAATTTTATTTTACATGTTTATTAAATTTTTCAAAGTTTTCTACAGTGGATATACATTGATTTTTTAATCATAAAACAATGTTTCTTTCTGTGTTTATACAGATTTTATTTCTTACCCCAATTTTTTAATTGTAGTAAAATATACATAACATAAAATATACCATCTTTTGCCATTTTTAAGTATACGAGTCAGTGGCAGTAAGTACGTTGATTATGCTGTACAATCATCACCACTGTCTATTTCCAGAAGATACTCTTCATCTCAGATTCTTCCCTTAGTCTCTGGTGACCTACTTCGTCTCTCTGAATTTGCCTGTTCTAGGTAGTTCATGTACATGGAATCACAGAGAATTTGTCCTGTTTTGTCTAGTTTACTTCATTTAGCACAAATGTTCTCAGGGATCATCCACGTGGCAGGTTGTATCAGAATTTCACTTCTTTTTATGGCTGAATAATACTCCATTTTATGTATATACCACATTTTGTTTATCCATTCATCTGGGCACTGTGAATGCTGCTGCTAAGAACACTCCTGTACCTACGTGTACCTATGAGTATCCCACGTATCCAGTTTGAGTCTCTGCTTTCAATTCTTTGGGGGATATACCTAGAATGGAACTGCTGTATCACAAGGTAACTGTGTAACTATATGAGGACCTGCCAAACTGTCTTCCACAGCAGCTGCACCATTTTACATTCCCACCAGCAAGGCATCAGGGCTCCAATTTCTTCTCGTCCTTGCTAACTCTTGTAATTCTCCCATTTTTCTGACAACAGTCATCCTGATGAATGTGAAGTGGCATCTCATCATATACACAGATTTTTATATAGAACAGACTAATGCAAATATTTATAACGCTTTCTTAATATCAGATATTATTCTGAAGACACATTAATTTAATCATTATGAAAGTCCTAGGAAGTTAGTACTATTATTATCCTTATTTGATAGATAATGAAAGTGAAACACAGGGAAGGTTGGTGATTTTGTCAAGTCAGAGATATTAAAGTACGTCACTATAGGGGCACCTGGGTGGCTCAGTCAGTTAAGCATCTGCCTTGGAACACAGATGTCTGCATTTTTAAAACTTTTATAGAGGTTCTGAAACTCAGTCCCAACCAAGAACTACTGCATTAGACTAAAAAATTCCTTATAATTAGAATTTTCTTAACTATTTCTGTGACAGGTGTTCACACAAGAAAGACATTTCTTAGGAGAAATGACAGAAAGGAAAAAGCGGAGCTTTGGGAGTTAGAGCTTGGGTTTGGATCCTAGATCCTTTCACTGATTCCATGTATGACCCAGGGAAAATTAATTTCTCCAAGCCTTATTTTCCATATCGGTAAGACAGAAGTTTAAAAGAACAAGTCTAATTCTCAGAGTTGTTACAAAAACAGATGACATATGCTAGAGCGTCATATGCACTTGAAGAGCAGTTGTTATAATTAACCCTGAAACTGAAGTTAAATTTAGAAATTCAGCAAATATTATGCACCATCAACTCTGAACAAAATCTGCTCTGTGAGGTACCTAAGCAAGAGCTCACCATCTCATACAGGAGAGGGGTGTTCTCCTTGAAAAGGAACACTGTGATGAGCGTTAACATAGACAGGCATGCTTATTATATGACAGGAAAATGGAGGAGGAGAAGTAATTCTGGTCTGGAAAGCTCTCTTAAAAATGCGATGTGAACAGTGCTTTGAGAGAAGCACATCAGATATACTCCTTGGGCCTTACTGCAGACCAATGGTTCTCAAATTTAACATGTATCAAAATCATACAGAGGACCTGTCAAAACATTGCTGGGCCCTTCTGCAGACTTTCTGATTCTATAGGCCTGGTGTGAGGCCTGAGGATCTGCACTTCCCAAGTGACACCAATGCTAATGGTAAAGGGAACCCCCTTTGAGAACCACCACTCCAGAAAGAGAGTGTGCTTGAGCAAAACTATTAGGTTGTAAAAAACAAAAGAAGACTAAGGAAGTGTCACAGACTGAAGATGTAATACCTAAATGCAACATGGGCTCCTGGATCAAATCCTAAAACAGAAAAAACATTCGTGGGAAAATTCTATTAAGTCTAGAGTTTTTGAGTTATTCAACTAATGTTAATTTCTGTGTTTTGATTATTATACCATAGTAACATAAATTGTTAACAGTCAGAAGAAGTGAGCAAAGATTATATAGGAAAATTATTTTCTGAACAAAGATATTTCCAAATATAAAGTTAAAACCAAAAATATAAGTCAAAACTAACTACTCTTCTGTGATACAACATTCATTATCTCTAACCTGCTTTCTTTTTTTTTTCTTTTTAAAGATTTTATTTATTCATGAGACAGAGAGGGGGGGGGCAGAGGGAGAAGCAGGCTCCACACAGGGAGCCTGACGTGGGACTCGATCCTAGGATGCCAGGATCACGCCCTGGGCTGAAGGCGGTGCTAAACCGCTGAGCCACTGGGGCTGCCCTAACCTGGTGCTTTCAACTCCACTTTCCACTCCCAGCTTAGGGCACACAAGTCATCATCAGTAATCAGGCAACAGACTTTGGGGCACATGGTTAATTAAATGTACAAAGAGAAACACAGCATCACTCATATTCTTTATAAATGAGAATTTAACACTAACAATCCTGAATTTTAAAATTTTAACACATTTTGAATTTTAATGTTTTACTTAGCATGCTAACAGTTAAAATTCTGCAAAAAAAACACAGAAAGTTGAAGCCTACTTAATGGTTTCACTTATACATTTTAAGGAATGTTTCATACTCACCAAAGCCATCAATGTCTAGATTGTTTTCAATCACAACATCTAGTAGAGAGTCACCAACTTTTCCTTTGGCTGTTAACGTCTCACCATCACGGTTTACAAAGTGGACTGTTATTTTATCTTCTGAGCTGGAAAAGGAAGCAGTCGTTAGTATTTTTAGTGATTTCAAGATACTTTAAAATAATTGTTTTCAGAACTTGTAAGACCAAAGAAATAGGGTGTGTACATAGGTGCACATATGCAAATATGCTCTTTATAGTATTTTCTTACCTTTCCATTTGAGAAGACACCACAAATCAGAGGGATGTCTATGTACCAATCTAGCAAAGAGGAAGCTCTACCTACCACCTTAAAAGAAAGAGCAACTACATTCCTATCAAGGCCACCTGTTGTGTCACCCCAAGGGTCACGGTCACATATCAGTCGTGTGAAAACATTTAGCAATCATCAATCATGAAATCTATGTTGCTCTTACACAGTCCTCTGAAAAGTAACATCTCTTTATGTAGTGTCCCTAAAAGATGAGACCATGGTAATGGAGAGCTTTGAAAAAGCAAATCACTCTGCTATCAATACAACACCTGTTGTACAAGTATCTGACAGGTACTGTTGCTGAGAGGCAGCAGTCTGATTGTTTTCTAAGCATTTAAGCATCTCATTTTGGTCCACATCATGTACTGAAAAATCAAAGAGACTTAGATTTGTATTTGTATGAATCAATGGGAAGATAAATATAACGTCTCTTACATGTTTTATTATAGAATATTATATTATCCATCAGAGTTAGCCAATGGACTTAAACTCCTTTCCCTTCTCACAAGTATCATTCCAAAATCTGGGAAAATAAATAATATTAAACAGCCAGATGCTTGTCATCCACCATTGGTCATTTTTAATTTTTACCTCGTAACTGAAAAGATGTACTTCAGCTTAAAATAATTAGTTGCAATTTTCACTACAGCCCATAGATGGTAACAATCCATCAAAGGAAACTTTAATGTAAGTAAAAGCTTAGAATTATATAATTCCAAATCATCAAGTCCAATTATCTTATTTTACAAATGAAGCAACTGAAAGCCCCTTTCAAATAATGCCCTCCCTGGTAATTCAGTGCTGAAAAAAGAAAATTCTACAAATTAGAAATGACCACGTGTGTGTGTGTGTGGGGGGTGTGTGTGTGTGTGTGTGTGTGTGAGTGAGGAGAGAGAGAGAGAGAGAGAGAGAATGCCCCTCCAAAAGGGCCTGTGCTCTCCAACTTGTTTTCACAACCAAAAAATACTTTATAAGTGAGTATTCCCGAACATTATTCATGGTTTCTAACTAGATAAGTGGCATCTCTGCCCGGCTGAAGGCTGAGAATGAAGATACTCTGGAGGCAGGGGCAGACCACTCTTGTGGTTACTAGAAGAATAGAGACTAAAAATGGAGTAGACACTGACCTCAGAGACATGCAAGGGGCAGAAATAGGAGGTTCTGGTGACCAACTATATAAGGAAGACAGAGAGGGAGAAAACATTGAAATCTCCAGCTCTGGCACGAAGGGCCCCAGTGTAACCTAGATTTAACAGAGACGGAACAGCTCTGGGTAAGATGGAAAGGAGTTCAGGTCTAAATCTGTTTTAATTGAGTTAAAAAATATATATTAAAAAAAATAAAAAAACAGATGAGAATGTGTGGAAGCCAGATGGAAATAGGGGTCTGCGTCCAGCACTGTAGTCTAGGGATCGGACACTGACAAATGCCTGTGTCTAAAGCTGTGAGAATCCCATCACTGATGTGTACCACTGAAAGCCAGAGGTTTTACTGCTGGAACACTATACAGTTAAGTTTACGGCATGGAAATCTCTTTTACAGCAGACGCCTCTTCTGTAAAACCAGTGTAACATCTAGGTTCTAGTATTGACAGTAGAGGCAAGATACTTCACGCAGAGGAGAACTCAACAAATGCTGATTAAGAACTTTAAGGCCTCCATCCTGCTGTTGCCAAAAAGCCTAACCTATGTATTAAAGGTGTACCATCCCCAGAAAAATACTGCAGAGTAAGAGCAATAAAAGGTTTGCCAAAGGATCCGAGAGGAAGCAGAAACAAGAGAGGAAAGGTAATCCTGCAGTCGACAGTATGGAATACAAGAATCAGATGTGGATTCTAGTTGCAGTTCTGACACACATGCATGAGAGGACCATGGGAAGCCACTTACTGCCTGGTGGATGAGATGGGGACAACAGTGACTTCACCAAACTCTTGAGACCATGGAAGTCAAGTCTGGGGAAACGTTGTTCCTTAAAGCATCATACACAGGTACTTTGCCCAAAAAACATTCTCCATTTGCTATCAGCAATTGGCATTAGTGGGTCTTATATTTTTCCCCCAATTCTAAGAACTAGCAAAAAGCTGTTCCCCAGAATAGGACTTCATGCACTGAGAAATAAATACAATCCTTCTAAATCTTCTACCATCATCAACTAATCAGTCAGCATCAAAACAACTCTTCCCTTCACTTGCTACCTTTTCCTACTGCCATTTATTCTGTCCAACCACAGCAGACACTTTAACAAAGGTGTCATGGACTGTGGTGGTTAAGTTTGTAAGAGACCTCTCATGGGGGGGAAGTGATAGCTGCTGATACCCACCTTTTCACCATACAGAGTGGCCCAGGGGGTAGTTGGTCCAAGAAAAGGGCCCCTTCATGAGTCTCTACTTTCAGAGCCACCATAACTCTTCCAAATGACCCTATGGGCTAAGGAATTGTCAACTATTACGGTGCTCAAGAAAGCAAGTGAAAACTACAGGAGTTGTAGGTTCCTAGTCTGCCAGCTACTTAATATGAAATTTGTATTCCCTACCCCACCTACCTCCCAGAATTTTGAGAGTGAAGTACAATTTTTGTGAAAATCCTTTGGAATTGAAATCACTACAAAATATAAAGTATCGTGTCGGGGTATTCTGGAGCAAAAGGATTTTCTTCAACTCTCAGTTACTGATAACTTAGCTACATGTTGAACTTCCCAAAATGGAACTACAGCTTCCAGGCTTCTCCACCTGGCAGAACTTTGTGCAAATCAAAGATGTTCTATACTGGGCAGCCCTAGTGGCTCAGCGGTTTAGCGCCACCTTCAGTCCAAGGCGTGATCCTGGAGACCCGGGATGGAGTCCCACGTCAGGCTCCCTGCATGGAGCGTGCTTCTCCCTCTGCCTGTGTCTCTGCCTCTCTCTGTGTGTCTCTCATGAATAAATAAATACAATCTTAAAAAAAAAAAATGTTCTATACCTGCAATGTCCAATACAGTTGCTATGACCCCATGTAGCTGCTGAGTACTTGACATGTGTCCAGTGCAACTGGAATACTGAATCTTTTCATTGTATTTAACTTACATTATCTTAAATAGCCACATTTCGACTAACCGTAGTCGAAAACACAGGTCTCAATAGTAAGGGCTGGAAAGTCTAGTGGTAGCTCCAGAGTCTGTGATACAAGGCACAAGGCCATCCGCTGAAACTGTGCCAATGAGGACGAAAGCAAGATTATGAGGGAGTAGAACAGATGTGATTCCCTTTAAAACAACTTGGTATATCCAAGTTCAAACTTAATACATTTGGGGGAGACAGTCCCACATTTACAAAAGCATTCACGTTCCCTTTATTTTTTTAAGATTTTATTTATTTATTCATGAGAGACAGGGAGAGAAGCAGAGAGTGAAACAGGCTCCTGGCAGGAAGCCTGATGCGGGACTTGTTCCCTGACGCTGGGATCAGGCCCTGAGCTGAAGGCAGAAGGTCAACCGCTAAGCCACCAGGCATCCCCACATTCCCTTTAAATACTAGCTTCGTAAATATGTTTGATATACGTCCCAATTTATACACGATTTTTCAAGAATGTATCAACTGTAGAAAGCAAGACATGCATGTAGAGAGGTCAAGGCAGGGAAGTCTCAGGGAAATAGGGACAAATAAATCTGGCTTGCCTTCTCCATTATCTCCCTCATAGTCCATTCAACGACAATTTCTTGAGAACACATTACCTAATAGTAAGATTAAGTTCTCAGGGAACTTATCAAGAAACCAGACAAGGCAGCATACAAACCCAACACTCTCTGCTTCCAGTTCTTCTATCCTGCTACATGACAGCAAGGGATCAGAGAGCTGTTCAGAGACCTGCATTACATGAGGCTCTGCCACACTGCCACACTCTGAAAGGATGAGTAAATTTTCTTTGTTACATCGAAGGGGATCGTGTCTTTGAAAAACAAACATGTCTCCAAACTATAAAGCTTCAAGACATCTTGGGGCAATTTTTTCACATCTCTTGCAGCATTTAACACAAAACAGAGCACTGCGGGCTTAAGGAGCTACTGCTAACAGTGGCATCTTCTGGGCCCACCCCATTTGCCAGGCACAAGGCTATCTGTATTACCTGACTACTTCTTCAAATAACCCTCTGAGGCCTATACTAGTGCTATGCTCCACTTACAAACGGGGAAACTGAGGGGCACCTGGGTGGCTCAGCGGATGAGTGGCTGCCTTTGGCTCAGGTCGTGATCCTGGGGTCCCGGGATGGAGTCCCGCATCAGGCTCCCTGCAGGAGGCCGGCTTCTCCCTCTGCCCACGTCTCTGCCTCTCTCTGTGTGTCTCCCATGAATAAACAGTCTTAGAAACAACAACAAATGGGGAAACTGAGATCTACAGTGATGGATGAAGTTAGGCATCAAGTGCGGGAATCCCGTTTAAAACCCTGCCTTGCCAGCCCAAGGCGAGGCTCTTACCCGCTAGAGCTCAGCTCAGGGAGGGGCGTCCAGGGCCTGAAGGGCACAGGGCGCGTGTATTCTAAACAGGCATTCCCCTGCCAGGGAGCTGTACACACAGTGTCCTAACAACAGGGCCGGGGAAAGGTCCAGGACGAAAGCTGCCGGCCGGGACATCAGGGGGGAGCATCCTACGAAGGTCACCGCAGCCTGCGGGCAAAGCAAAGGTCAGCGCCGCGCCAATCCCCGGAGCAGGGCGGCGGCCGCGCGCGCGGAGGGCCCGGGGGCGCTGGGAAAGGGAGGGCCGGGTCCCGGGGAAGGAAGCCGCGGCGCGACACGAAGGGAGCCACGGCCCCCGAGCAGCGCCAGGGCCGCCGCGGAGAGGGGAGAGGGCGAGGCCGAGGGCCGAGGGCCGAGCGATCGCGGACAGCACCCGCGACGCAGGCGGCCGGGAAGCGGCGGCCGAGCCAGAGCCGGCGGCGCCCGCCCGCACCCCCGCCCGCACCCCCGCCCGCACCCCCGCCCGCACCCCCGCCCGCACCCCCGCCCGCACCCCCGCCCGCACCCCCGCCCGCATGCGCACGCAGGGCCGCGCTCACCTGCTCCGCGCCGGCGCCGACGCGCTCTGCGTCCGGGGCGCCCCCGCGCTGCCGCCCGGGCCCGGGACCGCGCGGGGTCCGGCCAGCAGCCCCCAGCGGCGGGCAGCGCCGCCGACGCTCAGGAAGGCGGCGCGCAGGAGCCCGGCGACTCCCGCGGCGGCCATGGCCGGAGGTCGGGTGAGTCCCGGAAGCGACGCAGGCCGCGCGGCAGCGGCCGCGACAGGCTCGGCGGGTGCGGGCGGGCCGGACGCCCGGGGAGGCCGCGGGGAGGAGCGCGGCGGCGGCGGCGGCGGCGGCGGCGGCGGCGGCGGCGGCGGCGGGGTCCCGCAGGGCCTGCTTCGTGCGGCGGCCGCGGGCTGCGCGCGCCGTCCGGGTGACCTATAAACCCGGCGGCGCCCCCAGGGCGGTGCCTCCCGCTGCCGGTTCCCACGCCTCCCGGGTGGGCGTGGCCTCGAGGGGGCGGGGCTGCGCGCGGGGCGGAAGCGCCTGGGGTCCCGACTCACCTGCTGGGTGCAGCTCGGTGCAGCTCGGTGCAGCTCGGTGCACCTCCGTGCTCGTGGGCGTGCGGGAGGAATGAATGGTGAAAGCCCGACGTGCAACAGAAAGATACGGGGAGGGCACCAGGGTGGCTCAGTGGTTGAGCGTCTGCTTTCAGCTCAGGTCGTGATCCTGGGGTTCTGAGATCATGCCCTACGTCGGGATCCCGGCGGGGACCCAGCTTCTCCCTCTGCCTAAGTCTTTGCCTCTGTGTGTGTGTGTGTGTGTGTGTGTGTGTCTCATGAATAAATAAATAAAAAGCCCTACCCCCTCCCCGCAAAAAAAAAAAAAAAAAAAAAAGGAAATATAAGATAAAACGACTCACAGGGAACAACACCACTTCTGTTACACGCACTTCTCTCTCCTCCTCCCTTTCAAACAAAAACGAAGGTAGGCGATTATCATCCCGGAGTTGGAATTAGGGTAAAAGGGAAATCTGGGCATTGGCAAAGGACAGTAGGAAACCTCACAGTGCCAACAGACTCCATACCCAGAGGAACAATAATGAACATAAAGCTATAAACGATGGCAATAATGAACAAACTCGAAGATACTGGAGAAAACAGCTAATAATCCACGGTAAATAAATGCTGGTTCAGTGCATGAAATCCATGAGTTTGGAAACTTTTTGATGGACTGAGTTTTTTTTTTTTTTTTAAGGCTTCTACAAAACCCAAGAAGGATGAATTTAGAAATACATGTTATCTTGATTGATACATTATGGTGGAAAGAGCATGGGCTTTAAGGTCAGAGGTAGCAATCAGTGTTCAAATCCAAGGTCTACCACTCTTGACTGAGGCCTTGGATAAATTCTTCTCCTTGAGGATCAGAGTTTCCAAAACACTTCAGTACAGATAAGATGTTCCAGTCTCCAGGGCCATTCTGAGGGTTACAGAAAAAGAGGCACAGTGGCATAGTGCGTCACAGACATTAATGCAATAACTTCCTGGGCCCCCTCCCTAAGGCCATCTTTAAAGATGCTAAAGGCCAAAGTCAAGTGAATATTGCAGATTTGCTAAACACAATAAATGGATTTTGGAAGAATATTCAGAGCAAGAAAGTATAGGCCTGAGTAGTTTCTGGAGACAGTGTGTGCTGGGCATTGAACCTGATTCGCAGAGAGAGGGCAGACGTTTGGCTCCCAGATTGCCTAAATTTTCCCATAAAGAGAAAGACTTCCAGGCTAGAAAGGGCACAAGAAACCCTAACAAGTATTTGGAAAGAGGAAGTTGTAAAAGAACAGTTACTTTTTTTTAAAATATGAGATCAAATCTTCAAAGTGAGACGAATTCTAGGAAGAAAATGGGAGAGGAGGGGAGCGCAGACCTTCTCTCTCCTCTCAACAAATCCAACTTCAAGTGGGTTATGGAGCTTCCAGCTTTGTGCTTGGTGGAGTAGTTTGCATACATTTTTCTTTCTTAGTAGCCCCCATACTACTAATTACAGAGCTTTGAGCATATCATGTGGTCAGTAAAATTTTATGAATAAATTAATGTTGTCATGTAACTTCTGTTAGTAATCATGACAATTCATGAAGCAGTTACATGAAGATTAGAAATGGAAAAAAAGGATCTCTGGTTTTCAAAGATGGCTATGGGTTGATTCCAAAGATTATGAATATCAGTTCAGCAGTATTCCAGAGAGGATTTATAAACATGTGATGCCTGAACACAGATTTAAAAAGCAGTATAGAATTACTAAGGAAAAGCTTCTGCCTATATATTTCTCCATCTTATAAAATTCCCATCTGCAGGGTACCTGGCTGGCTCAGCCTATAGAATTCATGACTCCTAATCTCAGAGCAGTTAGTTCAAGCCCTACCTTGGGTGTGGAGCCTACTTAAAAACAAAAACAAAAAAAAACAAAAACATAAAACTTCCACCCTTCCATCTTTCACTCCTGTCAAAATCCATCCATATTTTGAAGCTCATTCCAAATTCTGTCTTCCCAATGAAGTTGTGCCTGTTTATCCCAACAGATCATCCTCCCCACTGCTAAATGCCTGCTAATGCCTCTATTCTTGTAAGACTGATAGTACCTGTTATTTCAAATAGAATAATGTTCATGGAGAGTGCTTTGTAAACTGAAAAGTATCATAAAAATTGAGATTCAGTGTTTACTGAGCACCTACTCTGCATTTCATAGTACCATGTGCTCCATCACACATACTTCACAGAGCTCCTCTTGACAGAAGCTTCCAGAAGTAAGGATGCTGTCTTATTCATATTTGTGTTCCGAGCCCCTGGCATAGTGCCTGGCATAAAGCAGCCACTTAATGTCTCTGTTAAGGGCAGCCCGGGTGGCTCAGTGGTTTAGTGCCGCCTTCAGCCCAGGGCCTGATCCTGGAGACCTGGGATCGAGTCCCACATCGGGGTCCCCGCACGGAGCCTGCTTCTCCCTTTGCCTGTGTCTCTGCACCCCCCCCCATTAATAAATAAATAAAATCTTTTTAAAAATAATGTCTCTGTTAAGAACTGTATTAGGGGGATCCTTGGGTGGCGCAGTGGTTTGGCGCCTGCCTTTGGCCCAGGGCGCGATCCTGGAGACCCGGGATCGAATCCCACGTCGGGCTCCCGGTGCATGGAGCCTGCTTCTCCCTCTGCCTGTGTCTCTGCCTCTCTCTCTCTCTCTCTGTATGACTATCGTAAATAAAAAAAAAAAAAAAGAACTGTATTAGGAACATTCACAGTTTTTTCTCATTTCATTATCAAAGCAACTCTGTAGAGTAGATATGCCTTTAACCAATAAATGCCTTTAATCAATAAATATTGACAGAAGCAATGTGTAAATCACCATGCTAGTGTTAGAGACACATCAGTGAATAAAATAATCCCTGCTCTCTTATTTTACAGATGAAACTGAGGTGCCCAGCAGTGGCTTTCTTAGAGTCATACTGCTAGTGAGTTGTAGATCCAGACTGTGCATCTTCCTGGTCAAAAGACCAGGGCATAAACACAAGAAATGATATTTTTATTCTTTTTATTATGTTATATATTTACAGATATCATTCATATAATTTTGTTTTATGTATATATATTTTTAAAATAGGGAGAGAGCATGGGGAAGGGAGAGAGAGAGAGTCTTAAGCAGACTCCACACCCAGTATAGCATCTGACACAGAGCTCAATTTCACAACCCTGAAATCATGACCTGAGCTGAAATCAGGAGTTGGATGCTTAACTGACTGAACCACCCAGGAGCCCCTATTATTAGAAGTTATTAATGTGTATTTATTTAATGTCACATTTCTCAACTCTATATTCGATAGTAGATGCTTAAGATTCTAAAAGGTCCATATAATTTAGGGATAAGGTCAGCAATTATCTTAAATTTTTTAAAAGGAGTGCAAAATTAGACCTTAGTATATTTCACCCCAGGAAATTACTCCACTCCCAGAATATGGCTGATGATATTGGTCTGTTTCCTAAATTTAAAGATACAATTGATATTAAAATTAATTGACCTTCCTGCCTGCTGTCTTGTCTTGCTTGAAGACATCCTCCATCCTGCCAGTGGGCTGATCCCATTAAAATACTGATACGATTGTGTTACTTTCCTGATGAAAATCCTTGAATGACATTCCATCACCATTTTTTTTAAGATTTTATTTACTTATTCATGAGAGACACAGAGAGAGAGAGAGGGCCAGAGACCCAGGCAGAAGGGGAAGCAGGCTCCCTGCAGGGAGCCCGATGTGGGACTCGATTCCGGGTCTCCAGGACCGCGCCCCGGCCCAAAGGTGGCACTAAACCGCTGAGCCACCCAGGCTGCCCAATCACCATTATTTATTTATTTATTTATTTATTTATTTATTTTATTTTTTTTAAGATTTTATTTATTTATTCATGATAGTCACAGAGAGAGACAGACAGAGAGGCAGAGACACAGGCAGAGGGAGAAGCAGGCTCCATGCACCGGGAGCCCGACGTGGGATTCGATCCCGGGTCTCCAGGATCGTGCCCCGGGCCAAAGGCGGGCGCCAAACCGCTGCGCCACCCAGGGATCCCTATTTTTATTTTTTTAGATAAGAAGCTTTTTTTTTTTTTTTTTAAGATTTTATTTATTTATTCATAGAGATGTAGAGAGAGAGAGAGAGAGAGAGAGAGGCAGAGACACAGGCAGAGGGAGAAGCAGGCTCCATGCAGGGAGCCCGACCTGGGACTCGATTCAGGGTCTCCAGATCACGCCCGGGGCTGCAGGCGGCGCTAAACCGCTGCAACACGGGGGCTGTCCAATCACCATTTTTAATAGAATAAAATAGACTGCTCAGCTGGACACTTAGCTTCCCTCAAGCTCTGCCTCCACTGCCCATCAGTCCCGCATCAGGCCTTTCTCCTCAGCAGGTTATGTTGGCTGCCTGAACCTGGCTGACTTCTAGCCAGCTTCTAGGACTCCAGTCCTAGAATGGTTCCTTGGAGGAACCATTTTCTGAAATGTGCACCTTTGGGAACCTTACACACTAGAAATCTCTCTGTCACAGCTTGTCCTTCAATTGTTATATGCAAATAAGAGCTTGAATCAAGTGACTTGCTCAATTTCAGGTCCTGTTTCTTTGTTAAGATGAATTTTTTATACTTTTTCACTTTTTAATGTGACCTTCAAATGTTAATAGTTGTCTCTTTTTTTTTGTCATGTTAGCCACTCCTAATGAACAATGTGTGCTGCAAAATGCAGCTGTTCTAATTTTAGCATTCCTTTTTCATTGATCACCTAGACTACTTCTGTAGGCAGACTTGCCTTCATCTTCTATTCAGATCTCCTGAAGTAAAACCTGTATGGGAAAGCAGGATAAATGCTGGGTTGTTTCCCTTTATTTATCTGCTATACTTACAGGTTTATTCATATTCTCTTTATTCAAAAGATGGTTTAAAAAGTTAGAATCAAGGCACCTGGGTGGCTCAGTTGATTAAGCGTCTGCCTTCGGCTCAGGTCATGATCTCAGGGTCCTAGGATTGAGCCCCACAATCAGGTTCTCTGATCAGCAGGGAGTCTGCCTCTCCCTCTCCATCGCCTCCCCTGCAGCTTATGCTCTCACTTGCTCTCCCTCCCTCACATAAATAAAAATCTTTAAAAAAAATAAATAAAAAAGTTATAATCTTCTGGGGCACCTGGGTATTTAGTTGGTTAAGCATCTGACTCTTGATTTTGGCTCCTGTCAGGATCTTAGGGTCATGAGATTGAGCCCCTCGTCAGGCTCCACACTGGCCATGGAGCCTGCTTAAGATTTTCTCTCTGCCTTCCTCCTCTTTTAAAAAAAGTTATAATTTTCTTGGGATCCCTGGATGGCTCAGTGGTTTAGTGCCTGCCTTGGGCTCAGGTCATGATCCTGGAGTCCCGGGATTGAGTCCCACATTGGGCTCCCTGCATGGAACCTGCTTCTCCCTCTGCCTGTGTCTCTGCTCTCTCTCTCTGTGTCTCTCATGAATAAATAAATAAAATCTTTAAAAAACTGTTATAATTTTCTAATAAATGTATATTTCACCTAAATTTTCAAACTATATTGACAAAAATTTTTCCTAGTATTATCTTTTTTAAAAATCTCTGATACATCTATATATTGCTTTTCATATTTCTTATATTATTTTCTGGGTCTTCATTTTTCTTTGAATAATCTTAGCAAAAGTTTGTTTTATTGGTCTTTTCAGATAACAGCTTTGGACAGTGATTTTCTGTGCTATTTCTTTATTTTCTAATTTTACTCATTTTTTTAATAGATTTTATTTTTAAGTAGTCTCTACATTCAGTATGGGGCTCCACTCACAACCCTGAGATCAAGAGCCATACACTCTACTGACTGAGCCATCCAGGTGCCCCTTATTCATTTATCTTTATAATTTCTTTCATTCTACGCTCTTGGGATTTACTTGTTTGTTCTTTTCCTA